ATTAGCTTTTATGGCATTATAAGCTGTCCCGAACCAGTTAAGCTAGTGAGGTGGGAGGTATATAAATTTAATAAATAGACAAAGTCAGTTATGGACATGCAGAACAAATTGGAAGTCTCTCAATGATGGATTACAATTGGTGATTCTCACACAAGTCATTCCTCTTTACCCTTTCAAGAATATTTATTTTTAAAAAAAACTTTGGTGGGGATGTTGTCTTTGCATATAATCTGGCTTTTATTTTACTTGCAAGTACATATAGGTTCCTTCTGATAAAAGACCCTTTTAACCTTCTGAATTTGCAAAAGATGCCGATCTCTTGCAGGAGCAGGAGTCACGCAAGAGCTGAACAATCTTAGCATTAGTCCTGGTTTTCATGTGTCCCACTAAACCACAATAGGGTTGATTGGATTCCGGTTGAGTAACCTAAACTCCAATTTGGGGTACCTGAAACACGATTTGCAATCTGTGGATTGACCCCAGGATCCCAAGTCCTTTAGCCCCCCCCAAGTTTCTTTTTTAATTATTTACCTATTTGAATTTATTAGCCAGCCAACTCCAATGAACTTTCCTGTCCAGTATCCCTCCCCCCTTCACTCCTTTCTCCCACTGCAAGTACACTACAGGCCCCGATCAAGGCAAGGAGTGAACCGGCGAACCCATCCAGATATAGAATGTGGGAACACGGTGGAGCCTTAAGGGGAAACTCCCTGTTTTTCAAAAACCTTGTTCCGCCAAACCCTGCGGGGAAAATCCTCCCAAGCCGCTTCCCCCTTCGCGTTAGCCCCATGGAAACCAGTCAACTCTGCAGCCTTGAAAAGAGAAGGGGGGTGAATTTATCGCCAAAAAGGAGCCTGGCAAAAGCCTAATGGGCAGGAAACGGTAGCACTGACTGCAGCCAAACTGCCCTGGAACAAAGAGTGATTGCTTCCTCCGCCCGCTTCCTTGAACAGCAGGCCTCGGTGGCAGTTAAGGCTCCTATCTTTAAACGAGGATCTTTCCTCGCCACTTTATGAGGTTGTCCTTGCTTTCTGAGCATGGGGCGATGGGCGGTAGCTTGCGCAGAAGCCCGGGTAAGTCCTTTGCTAGCAGGCAGGTTCTAGGACACCCGCCACCAAAGGATCTTCCTGAAGTTGCTTTTCTGAGCACGGGGAAAACAGACGGTATTTTGTCCCTTCTGTCTCCATGTTGCTCAGAAAAGCAACTCCGAGAAGGTCCTTTGGTGGTGGTAGGCACCGTAGAATGTGCCTGCTAGCAAAGGACCTTCCTGAAGTTGCTTTTCTGAGCAACGGGGAGACAGAAGGGACAAAATACCATCCATTTCCCCTGTGCTCAGAAAAGCAACTTCAGGATGGTCCTTTGCTAGCAGGCAGATTCTAGGATGCCTGCTGCCACCAAAGGACCTTCCCGAAGTTGCTTTTTTGAGCATGGGGAAAATGCACGGTATTTTGTCCCTTCTGTCTCCCCTTTGCTCAGAAAAGCAACTCCGGGAAGGTCCTTTGGTGGTGGCAGGTGTCCTAGAACCTGCTTGCTAGCAAAGGACCTTCGGTGGAAGGACCTTCCCGAAGTTGCTTTTCTGAGCACGGGGACTGTGAGACAGAAGGGACAAAATACCATCTGGCCAGGTATACAGGGCCGGGCTGGGGCAGGCTTACTTCCAGGTCTGGTGACCAACCGGTTTGCGAGGACCGGCGCAGACCGGCAGCAACCCACCACTGGTTCGCCTGAACCTGCGTGACCATGCAGCAGCCCACCACTGGCTGAATTGCTGAGGTGGATCCTTTCATATAAACATCCCTTGTCTGTTATTTCTTTCTTCTGGGTTTTTTAATATGATTTTAATGCTTTTATCTCTAATGTGATTTTATGCATTTATTCATTGTTTTAGCTTTGATGTATACTGACCAAAGTTGCCTTTGGTGAGAAGGAAGGCTATATCAATAAATAAC